GATGCCCATATATGCCGAGTTATAGGAACAAATTATCTTCACGAATACTTTTACTAAAACTATCTCTCCACCGAGTCTCACCCTCTTGGTCTTGGACTTGACCTAAGATTCTGAACCAAATCCTTTTATGTGATTAATTCATTCTCTATTGAGACACGAGGATTTGATCCATAAGCAATTTTATTCAATTCTTATCAAAACCCATCTTGATCCTGCAACAGTACTACTTTGTTTAGGACTTGACCGAGCCATAATCCAATCCCCATCTTTTAAGCAAGCCCAATTCACCTAGGACTCCACCGAACCATCAGCATCTCACTACCGGCCCGAGCACTTCACCGTTGGGCCGAAACTTGCAACCTCCTTTTCAGGCTATTAATCAACTCGGCCCTATCCTAAAATTTCAGGCCGATAGAGGGTCGGCGATCTTTTCAAATGTGGGTCAACAATTTCTCAATCAAGTGACCGACTTTAGGGACAGTGTGTCCAATATCGATGGGAATGTTGCACTCTTCTAATTCGAGGTGGGGCTGCAGTTGATATTCTTGAATAATGTTTCGATCAACTTACGTAGCAGCCGTGGCACTTGTTTTCTGTTTGTCTTTGATATGAACGCCATGGGCGGTCAAATGAAAAAGGTAACAAACTCCAACTGGACAGAGTAAATAAACTTAGCCTAGCTTTTGTTAATTTTCCGGAAGCAATATATAGTACTATCTTTGAAATCTCTCTTGATTTGTTAAGTTAAATGATTGCTGGGAGGACAAGAAATTGCACCCTTAGCATAAGACCTACCTCCGGCGCGGTCCTAGTGAATTATTGTTTCTCATGGAAGGACACACAGAGAAAATATTATGAATGTTTACGATAAAGAAATTGTACAATGATTGATGTCCTCGTAATGCGTGAACACGGTGGTATCCTCTCATATTCCGGTGTCGTGTTGAGTCATATTGTATTTCCATGTCGTCATACAATAATTTTTCTTGTTAATTTGACGTATATGTGTGCCATGTTGTCTCGTATCTCTCTATCCATGCATCGTAGAGGTCCTCATGTTCTCCTTTGCTATCAAACTCGAGTTGTTTATGACCGGTCTGTTTCTTTCGTCGAGTACTTAAGAATTATGGCTAAGCCACCCACATGCACATAATGCATCTGTCTGCCGTGAATTAGAAATCAAGAAAATCAAGGCAGCCAAAGTGCAGCTATGAGTTTCCTAATCAAACCCCACAGCAACTACATGTGATCTTGCATTTCTAGTGCACATAGAGACACACCACAAGCTGTAAATTTTGGTCCACATAAGACAAGGATTGATTGAGAGGGATAAGGTGGTCCTTTTCCCAAACCCTACCTACACAGATTTTTTTTTTTTTTTTTCCCGAAAACAATTATAGTTCGATACGAAAAAGTGTTTTAAGTAAAGTAGAAAAAAAATACCTCAGCAACTATAAGTTCTATTCAACAACACTTCGAGAGCTGCATTGAAGAAAAACCCCTCGTATCTGTCCTCTTGTCATGCTTTTTTATTGATTCTTAGTTAAGAAATCGCTTTAGTGATCTTCTCTTACTACAAGGTAAGCTGTGTTTTTTAATGATCTGGTTTTCACACCCTTTTTAGTTTTTCGTGCACCTCTTTTTATTTTCGAACGTCGTAGTTAATAAAATCAACGAAAACAAAAGTTGAGCTTAAAAAGTAGTGTGTAAAGAGAGAAAAATGGTGTATATTTTACAATTTGAAGATGTAAAAGCAGCAGTACTTTTTGTCTTGGACTTGCCCAGCCTCCTTTCAACGTTGTTGAGTCTGTCAATGTCACACTTGATTAGATTAGAATCCAAAAGCAGGGCCATGGCCGGTAATGGATGAAGTGATAAATGGGTCTCCTTCGTTCTCTCTCTCTCGAGGCTGTTCTCTCTGTAACTCTTGGGGGAAGGTAGGTACGTGATAGAGAGTTACTCTGTGGATACTTCCATATGATATTCATCCCCACTTGCCCCCATCTTTTAATTTTGTAACTTTTGAATTTCATCTCTTTCCCTCCACCTTCAAGTAATTGTATGTATCCCTTCTTTCTTTTCGAGTTGAAATTCTTTTTTACGTTAGCTTAACCAAAACAAAAGAGACAATGTCATGGATAGATATGGATTCTACTTAGTTTTTGTGGCAAAATGTATTTTCTTTCACGAAAAAAAGAAGATCAAGTGTGTTGAGCTGAAAGCACTCTCGCAACACATGCAATAAATGACTTGTCATAAGGATATGCAAAGAACTTGTAGCTGAAGTTATTATAAATATATACTTTTGCATCCAAATTTCTGGATTTGATTCCTCCCTTATTCAATATCGATTTGTCTAACAAAAATAACGAAGAAGAAGAATTCACGTGTTTTGCAAGAACATTTTGGCAGCTATCAAGTCAATCATAAAGCATGAGAGAGAATGTCAAAAGAGCAGAAGGTATTTCAATGTGCATACGTTAATCTACATGTAGCAAACAATATAAATATATATATTTCATATATATTTATAATTAAACCAAAAGAAGACATAACGTATCTTCAACAGTGTTATGTATTAGTTAAAAGAATGAGAGACCAACCATATGGAAGAGGATCCTCTCTGGATCTACTTTGTGGGGATCTTAGGAATTCCCATATCCTAGCCGTTCATCATATATTGTGCAGCCAGTACTATTTGTGTTTAATTTTAAATAAAAAAGGTCAAATGATTTCTAACCTCATGATGCACGATGAATGCCTAAAATGTGAGGATCCCAAGGATCCCCACAATTTGGATCCGGATGGGATCCAAATCCCAACTATATCTTGAAGGTCATTTGGCTGACATTTCATACCCCCACGACTATTTTGACTTGGCGACTTTTTCAATACAAAATTCTCACTTTGAGGTCGCACTTCAACAACGAGGTTTTCCTTTAGCACCATTTGTCATTTATGTCGTGCCTCTAAAGAATCTGCTGCTCATTTTTGCTTCAAATATTCAGCATCTAAGCAAATTTGGATGTGGTTGGCCTGTCAATTTAGTACTTATTGGCCCTTATTATTCCTTACCAATGTTTTGGGACGCTTTTGGGAGTAACCCTTTTTCTCGTTAGTTGCATAATCTTTGAATTTTTGCAGGTCTAGTTACATGTTATACTATTCAAAAGGCATGCAATAAGTCTACCTTTGAAGATTAGCCAATCTCTTTTCATCATCTTTACATGTCTATTGCTTTTGGGATTGTTTATACTGGCAAGGTTATCCCTGGATACTCCAACGGTTTGGATCTTCGTATTATCTCATCTTTGGGTATTCAACCTATCCCTCGAAAGGCCTTAATTATTCATTGTGTGCTTTGGTCTCCTCCAAAGTTTTCTTGGATTAAGCTTAACACTGATAGTTTGACTAAAGGAAATCTTGGTCCCGCTGCTTATGGAGGAGTTTTTCAAAGTGGTCATTTTCTTGGTGGTTGTTGTCAAGGTATTGAATCATCACAATGATTTTTGGCAAATTTATTAGCGTAAAATTTTCTAATCCATGAGATTGGCACTGTTTTTGGTTGAAAAGTGATATTACGAGTGCTCTTGTTGTCTTCATTCAAAGAATTGGTTCCTCCTTGGCCTCTTCGCATTCATTGGTTTACTTGCTTGGATCAAATTCGGGAGATGACTTTTTATTGCTCACACATTTATCAAGAAGGAAATGTGGTTGCCAACAAATTTGCTAATATGAGTTTGTCTTCTTCAACCTTGGTTTGGTTTGGCATGACTGGTTTCCGATTATCCATTGGCGATCTGTGCTTCTTTACATTTGGATTTTCTTGGCTTGCCTGGTTTCCGATTATCATATTAATGTGCATCTCGGTTTACAAGTTTGTCCTCCTTCATGATGTGTGTTTTTCCTTTTTTTCCTAACCCATTGATTTTGGTGCTTTGCAACTTGTTTTGCAAGTCTAAATCAGTAGACCTTCTAGGTTTTTCTTTAGAGGGGTTTAGGCTTTAGTCCTCCCTATTTTCTTGTATATTTATTTATTTTCTGAAGACAAGTCCGGTTTATGTCATCCCTTCTTTTTTCTTGTATTTTTCATTTTCTTTCTTCTTGTATCATGAGGGGTAAAATTTATATCTCCCGGACTAAGTTTAACTACTTTTTTTCTTCAATAAATTTTTCCTCATACTGTCGAGCTTTCCCAAAAAAAAAAAAAGCAAAAAAAAAAAAAAAAAAAGGGTATATAGAGTTGTGATCCCTTAATTAGTTAAAAGGATTTGTCTCGATCTTTAGAATATGACGTAAACTGCTATTCTGAATAATACAAAATTTTCTCTTAAAATTAAGAGTGGCAAATGTTTGTTGTTGATAAATATATGCTCCACTAAGATGGTACAAATTTTATAAATTTCTTGAAAATAAGTTATTAGAGCTAAGAAGTACTTGAAAATATAAAGAAGTATGGGTGAAATTCTTGAAATAGTTACACATTCAAATTTGTGTAAGGATATGCAACATGCTAGGTTGTGGAATGTAGCTACATCAAACGTACCTCAAAACGAGGGAAAACACTTCAGCTCTTTTCACACAAGTAATATTTTGATACGTGTGTATAAACTTTTAATTTTGTAATTTTTATGAGTTACATCTACACACGTAACCGACAGTAATAACTCCGAACATGTGAATAGCTAAATAATGTCCTAAAAAGAGACTGTTTCTTTTTCTTTGAAGTCAATTAATAAACGACTGTTAGGAAATAAAAGCTCTCTACTTAACCAGTACTATACTATTCAATGAGCTCAACTGAAACACATTAAATTATTACCCAAAACAATGAATAACCATTTAATTAAAAAGTTGTTTATATATAACCAGAAATTTGTTATTGTGCTAGGAACACGAGATGATATGTTATATAATAAGAATTTTTTTTTTTCAAATATTTCTCTATTTATATATGACATATGACAATGTGGCCGTGTTTCGAATAGTCTAAAAAATCTCTCAACATAAACGAGTAAAAAGACCCCACCAGTTACCTTCCCTTATACCACAACTTTAAATAATCTTCCTTCCCCTAAAACCCTCCCCTCTGACTACCCATCAATGCCACATTTCACAACTCCAAAAATTCATATTTCAAAGTTTTGAAAAACCTAATTTCTTCTCCCAATCCCTCCAAGAAAACCAGATGGGGAAGAAAATGAAGCTCCCTTTTCTCTCCAAGAACACATCAGAACTATCAAGATCTTCATCTTCTTCTTCCTCCCCATGGCCTTGGCCTTCTTGTGCTCAAACCAGAACCCTTTCTTTCAGAACAGGCAATGATATCTTCAAGACCATAAACTCAGCCTACTTTGACACCACAAACCCTACAACAGATTTGGTGCTGGTGGATAGCACACCGGACTCGTTCTTCACCAACTCATCATTTGACGAGTGTCCCAACTTCTCCACCGTCTCTGAAGACTCAAGAGGCGGTGGAGGAGCTGGAGGAGGAGACGCAATAGAGAGTGTGATTAAAGGGTTGAGGTCAGAGAGGCTCTTCTTTGAGCCAGCTGGTCAGACAAGCTCTGTGTTAGTTGAGACCAAGGAGGCTGAGGCGGGGGCCGCGGCAGCAGCAACAGCTGATGAAGGTGGTGATGGGGTTAATAATGTTATTCCATTCAAGGAGAGTGTGGCTTTGTCAATTGACTCACCAGACCCGATTGTGGATTTCAGAAAATCTATGGAGGAAATGGTGGAAGCTCATGGCTTGAAGGATTGGGAGAATCTTGAGGAGCTTTTGTGTTGGTACTTGAGGGTAAATGGTAAAAGCAACCATGGTTATATTGTTGGAGCTTTTGTCGATCTCTTGGTAGGTCTAGCATTTACTACTACCAGTAGCAATTCTTGTTCTTGTATTATTAACTCTCCTTCTTCCCCTTTCTCTAATTTTTACAATAGTATTACTACTTCTTCTTCTTCGTCGTTGTCGTCATCGTCTTCTTCTGCGACTACTCCTTGTGTTTCCTCCGTAGAAGAAGAGTCTGAAAGTACTGCTACTACTCCATGTTTATCTTCATTGTTAGAAGGTGAAGAAGACCAGATTAAGGAAGAAGAAAATGACGACGGCGGCGGCGACCGTGTTTCATCGTAGCTAGTTAATTAATTATTTGTTTTCTAATTCGATGGAAAATCAAAACATGTATACTAGTAGTAGTACTAGAAATGATAGTGAAAACTTCAACTTTTGATATTTCTCTCTTCACCAAATTCGTGTGGAGATTACAAGCGTGTGCGCGAGTTTTACAGTTTCCCATTTCCCAACGCATATCAATTAGAGTAAGATTAGTGAAACATAGGTTAATTTCAATTAGAGTAAGATTAGTGAACATGGTTAATTTTCATTCCAATATTCATACCGTTACATGTAACACATTTATTGGTTATACTTTTTACAGATTTGAGATGTAGCTGATCACGTTACACTTCTCGAAAAATCTACCTACTTCTCACCTACTTAGCCCGAGTAAATTTTACATGATGAATAATGTGATTCTTTTTATTAAAAAGTCATGTATGCTATTTTTGGAAACTTTATGGTCACACTTGATGGCAGATTGAATGTGTTAATATTACGTAAGACAAATTAAAAATTTTATGTGGACCGTCAAGAAATCATCAAGTTGTTGATAAAAATAAAAAAAATGCAGCGGGAAAAAAGGTACACTGAAAATTAGGCATCTTGCTTCAACGGCATTTTGTTAATTATATATGACATATTGACATATACTAAGCTCCATGTGGGCAACAACTTATGGCCTCTTCTCCTATTTTTTAGTGAATATATTATTTTGTTGGATTTGTTTTCTTTAAAAAGGGCTCATTTGTGATTTTGTCATGGCAATTTATCTTTCAGGATATTAGAAAAACTCAGATAAGTCTTTCAACATCTTTTTAGTTATCATTGTTTAATTCACACAACGTTTGAAATTTGTTTCTAATTATGTGTTACTCTATAATGATTATATTATTGTTGGATTGTTTAATATGTTCCGGTGTATTCTATGTACTGCGGTTACTAAGTTAAGAATTCAGTGATTTAAAATATTTTAAGTCTAACAAAATGAACAGAAATTTGCAGAGATGATCTTCTGCAACTGATCACATTGACACAAGTGTAGCCACTGTGATTTAGTAATATCTGCCACTGTGCAATCCAAGTTCTGAAATTTTGAAGCAATCAGGGCCGTTGATTTTGAAAATGGACCGTCGTTATCAATGATTGGTGCCATTCCAACTCTGAAATTTGGCGTGGTCCTAACACTCATTTCCTTGCACCTGCACAACCCCGATAAAAACTGTGAAATTTTGCGTCGAAAATATTATCCTTGAGTGAGCGGGGGAAATTTTTGTGTACCACAAACATAGTTACGGAGTGTTATTATTTTTTGTGATATGAATAAAAAGAAAATACATATGTTATAATTTGAATAAAATAATAACATTACGTAATAGTGTTTTGAGTATGCTAAAAAACTTACGTAGTGACGAGATTGGCATGAACATAATGAATTATTATGAATATCCATGGTTACTCCAACAGTAAGGCTGCGTACGAAAGACTGTCCTCCCCCTCCCCCGACCTTTGCAAAGCAAAAAACCTTGTTGACTTGGAGTCGCCATTTTTATTCATAGTTTTAAGAGTCAAACAAGTACTAAGTTTAAGAAAAGAAAACAAACACACCTGCAATTGCCTTTTTCAGCTTTATATAATTTCAGATGGAAAATATTTGTATGCTTGTTTTTATTTTTATTTTGTCTTCTTATTTTGGGTAACCTTATCATCATATACCTGCATATATAATAATTTGAATTTTTCACCGTTATGCAAATAGCTAGGTGTTGCAGGAAAAAACAAGAAGGTGGGATATCTGTTCTTTGGAGGTGTTATGTATATGAATGTCAGATTTTGAGTGGTGCAAAGAAGCAGCTCACACCAAGGTAAATCCAATGCAGGATAGGAACAACTCAAGCTAAATCCGATGCTACATCTCCATACTCCATACCTGTATTTGGTTGTGATCTGCATAGATGTCTTGTTAGGCAAGGAGTTATATATATGGAAGTTACAATTTCCCATGTCGCGGTACCTAATCAATCGTGAAAAAGATTGTTATTCTAAACTTAAGTAACTTTATATACTTTCGTTTAACTATGTACATAGCTCAAAGTGATTATATTCTGATAACATAATATGTTTGATTGTCTTGAAACAAAAAATTATTCCCATCAATTATCAAGTAATACTATGGCTACTAAATCTTGTGCTGTTTATGTAGCACGAATAAGCAGATGAGGGAGTTACAAATTCCCATGTTGTGGTATACCTAATTAGACATGAAAAAGATTGTTAATCTGAACAATTGATTTGGTTGTGCTTTCGTTTAAATTGCGCATGCTGATTTATTTTGATAACGTAATATGTTTAATTGTCTGATTTAAAAATAATTGATTCCTAAAAATTATCATGTTGATTTATGTTATCATCTTGTTCTCATCATTGGGAAGAATGATTAAAGAACAAATATATAGGAGGTGTGCTATATTATGTAAATATGGATTTGTACAAACAATAATATATACCCCACTAGACTCACCAGAAACCAATAAAAAAGAATGGTTTTTTTTTTTTTAATTACAAATGATTCTTGAAATTGACTAAATTTTTATTTTAATTTTTTTATTTCAAAATCAATCAACGTGGTCTTTAAAATTAATTATCGTAAATCAATATCATCATTTTATTAAGATTCTGTTAATTATGATATGATCAGAATAGTGTGTTCGCTTCCTTAAACGAGGAAAACTTCGCTTATTAGGCTCTAGCTTTAGATTAGCTCCTACTCATAATGTTTGCTCAGCAATCAGCATAGATGCCTCAGCAATCAAATAGGTAAAAAAATTAGTCAATGCTCCATGGTTCGAGAGTCTTTTGGCTCAGCAATCAGCATAGATGCCTCTTCAATCTCTGAGCCAAGATTCTTTCCCTAACGGCGAAGCTTCTAAACCTCGTGCCATTCATATTTTAATACCTCAATCTCGATATGCTAAGTTGGATATAATGTTTAATTTTGTTTTGTTTAAACAAACAATATAATGTTCAAGTTGTAATGACTGCTGATTATATATTATTAGCAAATTAAGTTTGAGATTAATGATGTTTGCAGTCTACTCATTGTTGAAGTCTGATTATAAATTGGATTTCAATCACTACGAGTGATTGAAGACTTTAAGCACCTTCCCTAGGCGATAGGCCTCTGCTCCTCGTCCAACTAGCATCTATTGTCTTTTAGAACCTTGTATACAATGTTTACAAAATCAATTGAGGTTAGTAGAAGTTTTTTTTTGTTTCTCGTATTTGTAATGGTCAACACATTTACTGGCTACTTTTGTTTTAAGGGAAAGTGCCTTCTTAGATTGAATAGTTTTAAGCCGAAATGATTGTTTAATATTTTAATTTTTGATGTAAACACTTATATTCGAATTTAATAAAAATTTCTATCGTTTGAACCAGAAAACTAATTAAGGGGTTGGCAACGGTGTAGGTCAAAATAAACTAGCTAGGTGCCACATGGCAACATCAACAAATAGGTCTCACTGGGTTAGAATGCATGCACTGGAACACAATTGAACTGTTCCAGACAAAGAAACAGACACCCTGCAGGCTTTTACTTGTCCAATTTGGAGAAAATCAATATCAACACATGTTTTCCCAAACTAATTAATGCTGCTTAGTCTGCTAATTAGTGAGATAATGACCCAAACAACACCCAAGAGAAAAACAAAACAACTAACACAAATCCCTCATTTTCCAAGAGAATTTAATTTTACACGAAAATTGGGACCAAAAAAATAATATAGAAGTTGGCATCTGTCTTATTTCAACTTGAGCTGTGTGTGGTTCTTGCATTCAATGCCTTTCATAGATCCATACGCCCGTCCCACATTTCACTCCAAGGCTTCTTCTTTTTTTTTTTTTCGCCCTAGGGATGGAAGTAAAGTAAATTTATTACTTGGTAATTTTTTAAATGATGAGAGTGGTTTAGATGCAGACTACTAAAAGATCTAAATAATGAATTATTTTTTCCCTTTGTTACTAGAGTGAGAATCCCCATAATAAAACAAAGATGATAATATGGTTTTTAATGTGTTTATTTGAATCGAACAGTTTAACATGACATATTGCGATTCTATTTAAAATTATTTATTAAGTTATTCTTGCTTTAATGCGTGATTCAAATTGGAGTATTTATAATAATAAGAAAAATGTAATTGTCATTCCAAAAATCTCGTCTTTGTGTGAGCCTTCCTAGCTAACTGTCGTTAGCTAATTGCAATCGATAGCTTTGTATTAGCTAGGACTATATGTCACTCCTCTCTTGTCTTCCTCAAAACCGTCTCAAGCAGCCTTCTCCAATGACAGCAGCCTCACCACACCCTAAAATCTTAGAATTTGATTATCACCCAGAACCCCTTGACCCACCACCACAGGCTTGGGATCGCAAGGGAGTGCACAAGCGAAAGAGGAGGATCGTGAGGAAGGAGGGAATACACAATCCCACCTCTTGAGGTGGGTTTGGGTCTTTGAGATACAGTTTAATTAGTTGAGAGGGAAAAGAGAGAGGGATTTGGATGGAAAAAAAAAAAAAAAAGGAAGAGAGAGGGAGCTGGACGGGAAAAATAATAGGAAGAGATAGAGAATTAATTCTAGAAAAAGAAAAAGAAAAAAAAAACTGAGAATTAATTTTTATTATCCTACTTTTTAGTCTGATACTGTACCAAACGTTTCACTAAGTCAATTATTCTTAGTCAATTTTAACTCAATCCAGCTTATCACTGAAACTAGCCTAATCCAAAATAATATAGTGCAACAAACGACCCATAAAACATATATACGACAAAATGAACTGACACGTGTGTGAGCGATTTTTATTTAACTTTTATTCTCAAACTGATAAGCAAGCAACATTGCATTTTCATGGGATCATTGACGAAACCTTGACAACTTTATCGCAGTTTATAAGGAAAAAGATAACTACACCCCCTTTTATTACTCTATACAATCTTGTTTACTTTTGTTCGTTGGTTGTTTATGTTGGTTTGTTCAATATGGTGAAAAAAAATAAAGAAGAATATGTAAAAGGAAAAAAAAATGATGTGTGATTATTATTTTCTATTATATTACAATAAAAG